CACACACACACAGCCACCTCGTACTGAAATCTGCTGGCTCTGGGTTTTAAATTTGGAAAGGAGTTTCATTTCCAGACTTGTTTCTTCCCTAATAGTCATGTCTTCTTGTAGGCCCCCAGAACTTTTTTCCTGCTATGGTATTTATCTAGTTATATTATAGAAAACCACTATACTGCCCTATCTTGACCAGATTGCAAGTATCTCAAAAGCTGTAACTTGGTGAAGTAGAATTCTCCACTAAGAGGGAGAGGCAACGGAGAAAGAGGGAGTAAAGGGCATAGTATGGGATTTGACTCTATGTGGATGTTGAATTTGTTTTTTTATGAATGAAAAGAAGAATGATGTCTTCTTATGTTACAGGGTGCCAGTGAAAGACTACAGCTGATACGGGCCTTCTACAGAGCTAGTCCAGACTGAGATGCTGTATCACTAACAACAGCTAAAACTCTGGCCCTTCAGGATACACAGGAACAACAGAAGGTTATGATGATGGAGCCAAAGAAAGAGGGACAGTCTTGGGAGTATGACACCAGGCAACCTGGGAACCACTCTACCAATCAAGAGATCTTTCGTCAGCGCTTCAGGCAACTCTGTTATCAAGAGACTCCTGGTCCCCGAGAAGCCCTGAGCCGACTAAGGATTCTCTGTTCTGAGTGGCTGAGGCCAGAGAGACATACCAAGGAGCAGATCCTGGAGTTACTGGTGCTGGAACAATTCCTGACCATACTACCTGTGGAGCTCCAGACCTGGGTGCGGGAACATCACCCTAAGAGTGGAGAGGAGGCTGTGACTGTGCTGGAGGATTTAGAGAAAGGATTTGAACCAGGACTGCAGGTGGGAAGGGGGATTTGATCTGTTTGGGGAGCCAGATCAGTGACCCTCAGGCTGGACAGAGGGGCAGCAATAGGGGGAGTTGCTGAGTTCAAACCACTCGTGGGCCAGATAGAGCAGTTAGTATGTGTTTTTGTCTCTATCTTTTCTTCCCTCAAGCCCTGAATGAGAAAGAGACTCTAGTTCCTCTTCTTCCCCTGCGCTGACTCTGAGGAGGCTCTCTAAAGTCTCCTTGGAAGCTTTGGTCCCACATAAACCGAGTGGTGCCTGATCACCTCCAGGTCCCAGGCCCTGCACATGGACCTACACAGGAAGAGCCGTGGGAGAAGAAGGCACCTCTGGGAGCAGCCCAGGACACACTGAGCATCCAGCTCCAGCCTACAGAGATGCAGCTCAAGTGTGAATCTCAGGAGACCCAGCCTTTCCCAGAGAGTGGTGAGGAGCAGGATCCTGTGGGGGAGGGAGAAAAGGAAGAGGGAATATAGGAGGCACAGAACTTAGTATCTATCTATATATGGGGCAGTTAGTAGCTGCTAAAGTGTTTTTTAATCATCATTATGGCATTACTATTCTTATCTCTTAGGTTACAGGATTTGCCTGTCTTATCACCTCTAAAATTAGGTATAAAATAAGATAGCTGTGATAAAGGCCGGGCATGGTGGCTCATGCCTATAATCTCAGCACTTGGGAGGCTGAGGCAGGTGAATTGCCTGATCTCACAGGCTAGAGACCAGCCTGAGCAAGAATGAGACCTCGTCTCTAAAAATATCCGGGTGTTATGGCGGGCACCTGTACTCCTAGCTACTTGGGAGGCTGAAGCAAGAGAATCACTTAAGCCCCAAAATTTGAGGTTGCTGTAAGCTATGATGCCATAGCACCCTACCAAGGGCAACAAAGTGAGATTCTGTCTCAATGAAAAAAAAAAAGATAGCTCTGATGATTAAACTAAAACTTGTATATATTAAACTTATATAATACCTGTTTTATTGGCTCAGTGCCTGTGGCTCAAGTGGCTTAGACGCCAGCCACATACATCTAAGGTGGCAGGTTCAAATCCAGCCCAGGCCCACCAAACAACAATGACAGCTGCAACCAAAAAAAAGTAGCCGGGCATTGTGGCGGGTGCCTGTGGTCCAGCTACTTGGGAGGCTAAGGCAGGAGACTCACTTGAGCCCGGGAGTTGGAGGTTGCTGTGAGTGGTGATGCCATGACATTCTACCCGGGGGACAGCTTGAGGCTCTGTCTCCAAAAAAAAAAAAAAAATCCCTGTTTTATCAACTCCACTGTTCTTGACTTCTTCTGGTCCATAATAGCTCTGCTCTCAGCTTACAGGCCAGCATTAAGATCCTTTTCTATTAATTTCCCTATGCCTCACAAACCACATGAAATCCATAGTGCATTCCTATGTAAGATGCAGCCTGTCATCACCTTCATCTACCACCTACCCCCCACATCTGAACAGCCTTATTTGAAACTCTCTTATGTCTTAATTTACCTTCTACATTTCAGATTTATTACAAAAACTTTCTTCTGTAGGCTCAGCACCTATAGCACAGTGATTACAGCACTAGCCACATACACCGAGGCTGGTGGGTTTGAACCTGGCCCAAGCCAGCTAAATAACAATGACAAATGCAACCAAAAAATAGCCAGGCATTGTGGTGGGCACCTATCCCAGCTACTTGGGAGGCTGAGGCAAGAGAATTGGTTGAGCCCATGAGATGGAGGTTGCTGTGAGCTGTGACACCATAGTACTCTAGCAAGGGTAACATAGTAAGACTCTGTCAAAAAAAAAAACTTCCTTTTCAGCCTGCACACATCCCCACAAACATCTTCTTCCCTCTTTCCCAGTGGACTCTAGACTTAACAGACAATAGACTTAGAGCTGTAGGACTTTGAACTATCTTTGCTGACCTCTGTAACATTATGAACTGTAGTGAACATAATGTATGTAAGGTTTTTTGGTTGTTGTTTTTTGTTTGTTTGTTTGTTTGTTTTTGAGACGGAGCCTCAAGCTGTCCCCCTG